TCTTCAAGTGGCATCTCTCTTCCCCATCTCTGCTTCTTAGCTTGCTTGTTTAATCTCTTTTATAACTCAAAAGAGATTGACTCAGATACATCTACACTAATCCTGCCTCATTAACATAACAAAGACAACCCATACCCAAATGGGGTTATAAAACCCCGAAAAAACCCTTTGCCTGATTCATAGGGACCCTGTAGAACAGAGTAGAACTGACCCATAGGGTTTCCAAAGAGCAGCTGGTGCATTCAAACTGCCAACCTTTTGGTTTACAGCCATAGCGCTTAACAACTGCACCACCAGGGCTTCAACCGAGGCATAAAGGTTAGGAATTACAGCACATATTTTTGGGGGACACAATTCATTCCATAACTCAGCCCCATCTTGAGGACTATATTAGCTTCTTTTTCAGAGTGTTCAGTTGAAAGGTGTTTTGATTTTTTTAGTAAGTGAAGAATAACTACTGAAAATGCCACTCAGCAAAAGCAAACTGTTAACTGAAAGCCGTGGTGAAGAAGGCATTTCTCTCCAAGGGGACAGGTCATCATCTTTCTGAATGTGTGACATTTCTGTTAAACAGGCCAGAGTTTTTGTAGGTACCTTATCTACAGTGTGTGAGAAAGTTTGGACTTTGGGACTCCATCAAACATTCCTGTTAATGCTAATAATTGGAAGATGGCTTCTACCCATTGGAGGCGGGATCACTCGGGACCAACTCTCTCAACTTCTGCTTATGTTTGTGGGAACAGCTGCTGACATACTGGAATTCACCAGCGAGACGTTGGAAGAACAAAATGTGAGGTAAGCATGCGCTGCAGTGAAGTTCTTTTTGTTGAGGTCAGGCCCACAACACTCGTCTCTTGGCTTCCTCATTTATATTCTGCATGAATAAGGATTTTCGGTATATTATAAGTCCAATGGTAGAATAGTAGAGTTCGTGGAATTTGCTACAGTTTAGATATACATTAGGCACCAGCCCAGTTTATATAATATTTTTTAAACACAAAAAGGAGGCCTGGTGATGCAGTGGTTAAGCGCGCAGCTGCTAACCAAAAGACCAGCTGTTTGAACCTACCAGCCACTCTGTGGGAGAAAGATGTGGCAGTCTGCTTCCGTAAAGATTAAAGCCTTGGAAACCCTATGGGGCTGTTCTACTCTGTCCTATAGGGTC